GCCAATTCCTCGCCAACGTAAGTAAAGTGCGGTATGGCAGTCCATGAAAGCAGGGACTAATCAGTTGATAGATGTCACACGAGATCCGAACTCCTATTACTGGCGTCATCGGAATGGCCGAGTTGTTGAGGGATATGGAACTTGACGGCGAGCAGACCGAATACGTCGAAAATATCCAGAGGTCGGCGAATGCTCTCTTGACGGTCATCAACGATATCCTCGATTTCTCAAAGGTCGAATCCGGACGTCTCGATATCGAAGAAGTTCAGTTTTCCCTCTCAGTCATTGTCACGGACGTCAGTAAGATGCTGAGTTTTGCTGCGGAGCGAAAGAATCTGGACTTCCGATCCGACATATCGAAAGAAATCGAGAGGGATCTGGTTGTTATTGGTGACCCCGGTCGTGTACGCCAGATCATTACGAATCTTTTGACTAACAGTATCAAATTCACCAACCAAGGTTACGTCAAGTTTTCGGTGCAGAAGGAGAAGGAGACGTCGGACAGCATTGTCGTCAAATTTATCGTTGAGGATAGCGGTATCGGAATCGAGGAGGAGGTACGGAAGAAACTATTTCAACCCTTCAGCCAGGGGGATGCTTCGACAGCGAGAAAGTTTGGTGGCACGGGCTTGGGTCTGACGATTTGCAAGAACCTTCTCGAGTTGATGCATGGAGAAATGACGCTAGAATCCGCCCTGGGCAACGGAACAGTGGCAACATTCTGGGTTCCCTTCAGCAAGCCCCAAAACCAAAGGGCACCGCTTGTCGAGATTGGTTCTCTTCCGGACAGGCTGCAGTCTGAAATGAGCGTCTCTTGCCACAGTTCCGAGTTTGAACAGCTTCTGAACACGCCGCCCGCCTCTGGAGAGTCCTCGCAATTCCTAACCGACAAACACAAATCCCCATCCCGACGACTCTCGGTGCGGACACCGCCGGCTTCGGACGAGGAGTTGTTGCCACATGCTGAACGTGCCAAAATCCGCGTCCTTGTCGTCGAGGATAAGTGAGTGTTGATTTCTATTGGCCACGTTACGGTCTATGCTGACCATTTCCCAGTGCGATTAACCAGCAAATTGCAACCAAGACGATTATGAAACTTGGCTTTACGGTGACAGCAGCATGGAACGGAAAAGACGCCCTCGAATACATGGCGGCAGCCCAACAAGGCAAGCACAGCAAGCCGGATATCATACTGATGGACGTCCAAATGCCAGTCATTGATGGCTACAAGTGTACGCATCTCCTGCGCCACCACCTACCGTACAAGGCCTACGTACAAGATGTACCAATTGTGGCGATGACGGCATCGGCGATTCAAGGCGACAAGGAGAAGTGCACCCGAGCAGGAATGGACGATTATCTTGCCAAGCCAGTCAAGAGCAAGACGTTGGAAAGGATGCTTGTCCGATGGAGCTTGATGAAGAGGTCGCAACAAACAACATACAGGGAATCAGATGGGTCCATGTCTGATTGCTCAGACACCGCTGCGCACTGCAGCAACGCCGATATCCCTGGCGTAGCACATGATCACCCAGATCCTACGCCTCCCGACTCAACAGAAGCCGTGGCGCCTTCGAGCCGCGAACGAGAGCAACGCCAGGAGATGGATCGTGAAAGTCGGGGCGATCCGGTGACACCCAGGCCTCTTACCAGGAACAACTCGTATGAGCCGTCACCATTCGACTCCCCAAACGTAGCGGAATCTATCAAGCCAATAAGGCGCTCCGAGACTGATGAGCTTGCTTTGCAAGCACAGCAGGGCAAGCTTATGGAGGCCGCCGGCGGAAAGAAGCTTCCGCGACGGGGAGAATCCTTCCAGACGGTGGTGGCCGGGGATTCCTTGACGGAGGAAAACGTGGAAAAGTTGGAAAAGGAAGAACACAAGCGGAGGTCATAGACATTGGGGAGTTCTCACAGCATCCTACTTTTTTTTCAAGTGCTTTCCAAGGGGGAAGACACTCACTACCACACAGCGAGGTGCATGACGCGCCCGGTCACTGTTTTTATGCTTACAAACGTAACACACAAGAGGGTTGTACATATGGAAACAGAGAAATCGGGAAGGACGAAAGATTGGGGAGCTCTGGGGAGGGGGAGGGGAACGCGAACAGGTCACGTTGCATCTTGGCATTTCGATCGGCGTATAGGGATGGGTTGGATTTTGACGAAGCAATGGGAAGAACCGGAACTCCTGAAAACACAAAAATGTGAGCGACGTGGTTTGTGGTTATACATACTCGGAAACCGATAGAATTGGGGGGCACGGGAGTCGAGGGGTTTCTTGATGAGATTCTGTCTGCCTGCTGCTTACGAGCCCAGGTTTGTTCTTTTATTTTGGTACAATTCTAGTCGATAATGACAGAAATCGAAATCGAAACTTGATAGCAATGAAGTTCTTTCCTCTTTATCATGTCTTGTTTTTGAGATGTGTAACGGTCCCCTGGATTTGCTAGGTGTGAAGGTGTAGGGTCCTTGGGAGGCGCTGTCGTTATTTCTTTTGTCTCGATGTTTTTTTTTTTTTTCCATGGGATGTCTGATTGTCTGTCCACCCAGGGAAACGAAGCGAAACCGAGTGAGAGTTTGTGTTGGATCAGATCTAGACTTTTTTAGTTGATAGTGGAGGGTTGGGTATCCGAGCGTGCCGTGGATGGGATGATGAATTTGGGAGGAGGGGGGATGGAGGGGAAGTTCGGAGTCTGATCCGGTGAGCATGGATTAGGGGTTCTCGTCAACGCCTGCGGCAGGGGGGGGGGGCATTGGGTGTTGTATGGTGAACAGAGTATGGTGTACATATGTAGGTATGGGGGTGATTTTTCTCTTTTTGTTTATTAGAGTTTTCCGAGATCTGGGGCTTGGCGTTGGAGTCTTTGAACGTTTGCAGGGCTGTGCTGGGGTGGATCGTGAAGGGTACTCTGGGATTGGGCCTGCCTTTTCGAGTCGGGGTGTGTGAGTGCGAATATGTAGGAAGGGGGGTTTAGAGTTGGGGATGAAAAGAATGGATTTGGATTTCTGGGATGGGGGGTTCCGGAGGGTTGGGTCGGTGTGCTTTGTGTGGGCGGATGGGTGGATGGATGTGAGTGAGTGTGAGTGTGGATGGGGAGATGGGCGGTGGTGCGTGCCGTGGAGTGACTCGAGCGGGTTGTGTGGTTTATGGCGATACATTCATCGATGTATCGTGAGGATGATATGTTCAGGTCTGATCTTGTTCTTCGCCCTCATCACGACTCACTTCCTCCTACCATCACGACCCAAGAAGCCTCACAATCTCACTACTCCCGATCCTCGCCGCCGGATCCCTCTCCAACATCCTCCCAAGCAATTCTTTCTCGGCATCCCCACTACCGCTCAACGGCGTCCTCAACTCCTCGATCTCATCCAACCACGCCTCCATTTCTTGCTTGACGGCTTCGTCTTCAAATACGTGGGGCAGGATCCAGGAGCCCGTGGGTAGAGGGACGTATCCCAAGCAGAAGAGGAGGGTGACGCCTAGTCCCCAGATATCGGAGGCGTGGGATTTGTGCCGGTGGAGGAATTCGGGGGGTGCGTAGGGGGGTGTGCCGGAGGGAGACCAGATGTTGAGGGAAGGGGAGGGGGAGGTTGATGACGAGGGGAGGGGGAGGGCGGCGCCGAAGTCGAGGAGGACGGCGTGGGGTTGCGGGTGTTCTTCTCTTTGAGTAGAGTGGAGAGAGGGGGAGAAGAAGATTATGTTTTCTGGTTTGACGTCGTCGTGGATTATGTTGCAGTTGGAGTGTAAGTGGGATAGGGCTGATGCGATTTGGGACCAGATTGTGAGGGCGTCGGAGTGGGAGAGGGTGCAGATTGAGGTTTTTGGGTTGATGTATTTTTCTAGGCTGTGGCCGGCTTCGTGGCGGAGGGTAATTGTTGGTGGGGAGGGGGAGGAGTGGAGGATTCGGGATGTGTTTGGCTGTTTGGGAGTGTAAGTTGGAACGGAAGTGACTTTAGGTGGAAGTAGGCTATGTTTTGGGGAGGTGGAAGCGGGAAGGTATGGGTGTATGGTAGGTAGGTAGGTAGGTAGGTAGGTAGGTGTAAATGGTACGTACGTGACCTCTGGCGAGGTTGAGAGCTTCGACTTCTTTGCGCCAGCGGTCGTGGGTTCTTGGGTTGTCGGGGAAGGTGAATTTTTTGATGACTGCTGGGAGTTTTTTGTATGTCGTGGACTCGATTACAGAGTGGTATGTTGTTGCGATTATATTTGAGGGCGTGTTGACTGGGTTGTCGATTTGGGAACTCTCTATGGCGGTTTCCATGGTTGGGGCTGGAACAGACATTAAATGTAATTCCGCCTGATTATCACAGGAACTGACTTCTGTATCAGTACTCGTTACGAGATGAGATTTTGGTATGGGACGGGATTGGATGTCAAATGCCAAGGTATTTGAGGAAAATGAGCTGGCGCGGCAAGGCCGAAGAGATGCCGTTTTCGGGCTCAAGTGCGGGGTGACTCACGCCGATAGTATCCTGCGGGGAGGGTCCACCCGGGCCGCTGTGGAGTACCCGAGTCCGGGGTACTTTCGGATGAAGCGGCACTCCACGGGGAGTCGGTCCGGACGCCAAAGGTAACGTCAACCTACCTGACCTTACGTTGCCTACGGTGGAAATATTCTTGGATTATCCGTACTGCAAGCGATTTCTCGTGCGCATAGCATGACAAGGTATGCTCTGCATGTATCCCGAACCACCGCCAGTCAGCTTTAGCCATCATGCAGGCAACCAACGGGCAAACCAACATGAGCAGCATCCAGACCAACCGGCCGCATAGGATAACCGCCCAGCTCCAACCAATAGTTACGGCACAGCCCCATAAACACGAAGATCGTAGCCCCTCGGATGTTCCCCTCATTTCTTGCCATTGCGTTCTCACCCCCAGCCCAACTTTTTACCAATCTTTGTCTTTCTTCTCCTCTCACGACTCAACAGCCAAAACTCGCTCCTATTTCACACAACCAACAAATTTCTCAGAAACAGAGGCATCACTCGCGATGGCTGAAGCCCTCGGGGTAGCTTCAAGCGTCATCGCTGTCGTCGACTTGACAGCAAAGGTCGCAGGAGCCTCGATCAAGCTCGTCAACCTATGGAAAGAGATCAAACATGTCCCAGATACGCTGCTTGAGAAGGCCGAGCGGCTCAGAGACTTTGAAGACTTTCTTCTGGAGACAGAGAGCCAGGCTGCCGATAGTCCTATGCCCCAACGAGCTTGGAACAGTGCTCTCTTGCAAAAGTATATCTCCAGAACCCGGACTGCGTTGAAGGACCTGCAGCAGATGGTCGATCAGCTGTACGCCCGGGTCACAGATCCACGAAAGTTCAAGAGAAATCTGGCGTCGACAAAGGCCGTTCTTCGAAAGGAGGACCTTTCTGCTTTGGACTCGAAGCTCAATTTGGCGTTGGACCTTTTCAAGCTAGCTCGCGAGCAGTATTTGACGCATGTGAATTCTTTCACCAATCACTCTACTAGAAAGCTGACTGTCTTTACCAAGATCACTGATGTCATACTCTGTGATGCTTCAATTACAGCAGTCGTCTGATATTAAGTCTATCCAGATGTCCCCTGGACGAGTCGCTAGTCGAGGTCAAGCTGAGGACACCTCGGTTGACTGCGGCACGAACACCAACCAATCCCTTGTTGTTAAAGCGCCAGCAATGGCGAGCTTTTCCCACAGACGAACCATGATTGGCAGAATCGGCCTATCTTGGAAATCAGACGTCGGCTACAAACTGCACGCGCAGCCACCTAGTTGGCTTACGGGATCAGTATATTCCGTCCTGGCGCAGAAAAGCTTATGGGGCTGGCAACTGAGCCTCAGATCTTACGAAGTCGTGGAATGTCTTGACCGCAAATTCTACACAGACATCCTGAATGATGACTGCCCTGCACTGTTCAAACGATTGCATGATCAAAATATGTCACCGTTCGTTCGGGCAGATGATGGTTCAAATTTGCTCGAGGTATACTTCTTGCTTGCTTTCATCCTCCTGATTGAGACGAAGATTCTGACCCGACATTCTTGGCAGATTGCGTTTCGACTGGGTTCTTTGAAAATAGTCAAAAAGCTACTAGATTGCGGTCTAGGATCGTGTGTGCTAGAGTCTTCAAGATACAATAACAGGTGAAGACAACCTTCTCTTTTTCTCACTTCGATCCTCTGACAATTGATAGCTATCCATGGATTATCGACTCGTTGACATGCCTCTGGTTTAATGAGAAAGTAAGCTGTGGGAAAATACATGCAGCGCTTGTCGAACTTTCGAAATATGGCCTGGATGATTTTCTAGAGGGCCCTGAAGTTTTTGACATCTATTTCCAAACGTTCCCAGCGATCTCAGGGCTTCAAATTTTGTTGGAATATGCGGGTCGCCGTCGTTACCAATCTTTTCCATTCAGAAAAAGGCTGCAACATTTCCGGACAATAGTCTGGAGGGCCCCAGATCGTCAGTTATCTTTGGATGAGTTACATTTCCTACTGCCAGAGATTAAGAATCTCACCATTGATGATCTCGTGTCAACACGATCAATGGGTTATTGCTCCCTCTTTCACTCATTGGCTTATGGATTAGTCCGCCAGTCTGCTAAGTCGTACGAGATCGACCAAGAACCGATGCCACAGATACAATGGTGCGGACTTCTCAGAACCTGCCTCCAACTTGACCCCGTTGGTCTTTCTCATCTTGAAAACCCCGAGTTCCCCGATTACGCAATTGACAGAATTCAAACCCCGTTCTCATTTCTAATTGATAATGCCCTTGATTTGTTTGATTTTTCACCAAGAGGTCGATGGCCCTCATTTTTCCAACGTATGCAGAGGGGAATGTCAGCTTGGCTGGATGTTTTGACCTTGAATGGAACTGATCTCTTAGAATATGGGCGCAAAGAAAGACGGCTTCATGATGAAGGCCTGGTACTTCAGCATACGTGTTACAAAATTTCTCACCTGTCGCATCGGAAACGTCTCCTTGGTATTACTTATGGAAAATCGAAAGATGATTGGAGGTTTTGGTGGGTTGCCGAATATGAGCATTTTGTAGGCGACTTTTGGGGGATGGTTCATCAGGTGGATCTGGACGTGAAAGTCCCTGGCAGCTGGGTAGACGAGTGCGATTATGATCATTATAGCCCCTATCGGGAGGAGAGACCAAGAGGGGAATTGTACTTCGAGGAGTACATGCCGTTAGTATGGTCTGAACATCGGGAGTTAAAAGCACCGCTCTGAGTATAAGAATGGTATACTCCCCGACTTTACTAGCTTAAGGAATCAAAACGAATGAGCCCGAGCTCCGAATAGAAATCACATGGCACGGCATACACATGAGAGAGCTAAACGCTACCATTATTGTCTATTGAGTTCGTGCCTGAACAGAGAGTGACTTGGACCAGCACGCAAAATGCCGCGGGATTGTAAGCAAGATGCGACGGGCTGTGCGACATATGGGACTGGCAACATGTCTAAGTACAAGTATACACTTGAAAAATGCAGAGAACACTTCAGCCCAGTTCGCTTCTGCATCACACAGCTCACGCTCATCTTTTCGTACACTCGACAGCAAAATGATACCTGAGGCTGTTGCGATTTTATACAAGGAGTGACTTCTGCATGTAATCGAATCATTGACTAGGTAGATGTTGGTGTTTGATTTCCAATAGTCTCTAGATCCTGTTGGTTGGGTCTTGAACCCGGCCGCTTTGCGGATTCCTAGCCAGCATTGGCTGGCAACCTACCACCCATGTCAAATCATGCAGTTTTGCCGCCGAGGCAGCAGGCCCGTCCCGCTGCATATTAATGACTGCGCCGCAAGACAATGACAGGGTAGGTTTCTTGTATAACTGGTCTCCTTCGCTGCCGTAATGCTGGCACTTAAGAGCTGAGCGCCTGCAGACTATTACTCTGGCCGCTTCGCCGTCGACGTTCGGGAATGCTCGGCCATCGACAGCCATGGAGATCGCAGCAAGCAGTATCGCCTTCGTTCAGGCTGGGGTCGGCACGGGAAAGGCCATCGTCAGAGCCATTCGAATGTGGGAGCAGGTCAAGCAGCTCCCCAACGACCTCAGAGCCCGACTCAAGAGGCTGGAATCCCTCGAGCCCATGCTGCGTCATATCGAATCCGACTTTGCAAAGTACCCGGAACTACGCTTTCACCCAACCGCCCAGCAATGTCTCGCCTATGCGATGGAAGTCGAAGCTACCATGAAGTCTCACGTAGAGAAACTCGAGGGGAAGATCCAGAGGCCTAGCAGCAACTTTAGAAAGCGGGTCAACTCGTTGAAGATCATAACGCTGAAGAAAGAGGAGATTTCCATGCTGGAGAGTGAGCTTGCTTGGGCCATGGAATCTTTGCAGCTTGCCATCACTTACTTCCACATGCAAGTTATATTTCCCCTGTGTCTGCCTGATGATCCACTGATCGTTACTTGAATCAGGGCGAAGAGCGAGATATCTGAGCAGCTTGTGATCAAACAGACCTCGGATCGAATCAGAGAGTATAGCATAGCGTGCCAGGAGGATGTGGTGAAAAAGACGGCGCAAGCTGTCGCCAATATGATCAAGATTCGGGAGGAAGTAGACACCAAAGTCGTTGACGCAGGGTCTGAAAAGGTGCTTCCTGCGCCCCCAAAGCGAAAACCAACCATGGTCATGAAATCTGGAGCATTTGGGCGATACTCATTCCAACGCTCCAGGAGCAACGACGGATGGACCGCTTCATTGCAGATACCGTGGTCTCAGTGCGTGAGAGAACTGAGATGGACAGGGTGGCAGTATCGTTTTCACTCTTACAACATCAGATCAGACTCATCTGCAGTCTTTGAGACTGTTAAAAATGGAGATCTAAGGCGGCTGGTAAACCTTTTCAAGACGGGTGAAGCAACCCCATTCGATAGGAACGAATCCGGTAAATCACTTCTATATGTAAGCAATCCGAATGCTTCAAACTTTTCCGCCGGATCTTTGTTGCGAGTGGCTCACGAGAAATCCAGGTAGCGGCTAAATACGAGAGACTTGAGGTCTGCCAAGTCCTCATACAGCAAGGCGTACTTGCCGACGATGAACGAGAAAGCTACGGCGGGTTCGGCATCCCTATCCATAATCCCTTCTTTCACTTAAACTGCAACTAACCATGATTTGGATGTTCTGAAGAACCCCAATAGATGTCATCGTACGATCTCGAACCAATTTCAAACGGAAAGATGATGCCAACCACCGGGCCATCGTTTCCCTTTTCCGCAATGCCGCCCAAAGCACCCTCACACTAACCCTCGAACGCCTGTTTACCTTCATGGCGGAGTACACCTACGGCGATGAGTACATCCGAGTATACTATTTCAAATTTCTCACCGATTACCAAACGCGCTTCTCTTTGAGCGACCGTCTCGAGGCAGTGAGGCTTGCCGCTTTCATCGTGCGCGAGGATACAACGTATCTCAATCTCCTATCCTCCGATCACACCATATCACCAAGCGATGTTGAGAAGAGCGACGAATACGGCTTCTCGCTGTTGCATTCCGCAGCAATAGCCACCGGGATAAGACTCGCGGACGAACTGCAGTTTGACCGGCGGATCTTACGGCAGCGCACTTACACATCGGCCTGGAGTGACGTTATCATCAAGACCTTACGAAGCTTGCCCAACACAATGAGTCTATGTCACGTCGAGACTGTCGTCCCGTGGGATTGGTTCGTCGTACCTGTCTGGAAAGCTACTCCCTTAATATCCCTTCTCGGTGGCGCCTTATGCCGAGTATCGCCTCACTTACCTTTGGAAGAATGGGACGATGTGTTCCAAGCTGTACTCAAACAATGGCTCCGAGACCTAGTATCTGCGGGCGTTGATCTACTTACGTACGGGGAGCAAGAATCTGAGACAATGAGGACCGCACATCCTGAAGTGAAGGGGGCTTTTGACAGCGATGCCATCAACCTTTCCCGCAAAGTGGTCAGGAATCCGCTACAAGCGTGTAGTGAGCCCGGGTGGATGACGAAGGTGGAAAGAGCCTTTGATAGGAGTGATCGATACTGGAAACCAGTGCGGATCATCAGTCTCGACTACGGTCCAGACGTCGATGATTGGAGGGTTCACTGGGTCGTTGAGGTCGAGGCGTTTGCTGGTGAGTTTTGGAGGGTTGTGGAGTCACCTCGGGTCGTTATGCCGGGTAGTTGGATTGACTAAAGAGATCCAACGAGATCTCGATGCATCCACTTGCCACTTTTGATACTCGCATCGATACCCAACGTGCTTCCTCGAACCTGCAAACCGGATCGATGGCCACTTAGTCGCCGGGAATTTACCGCGCGGAAAGGCCCGCAGTCGCGGCTGCCGGCCGGGACTTGCTCGGCCCCACCACAACACCCCACTAAGATGCGCAGGCGGACAGGAGCTCACCCCGCGTCTTCGTCATCCTCGTGCACCCCAAGGTTCCAAGCTCCCAAGTCGTCCCAGTGCGGGGCAGATCGGCTCACTTCAACCTCTCCTAGCTCCAGCCTTATCCAAAGACACAAGATCCGGCATCACTCATCAAGCCCGCCAATTATCCGTCTCGATCTCTGCTCTGATTCTCTCGTGCCCTGCTAGCCACGGCAGCTTATCTAAAGCTATGGCGTCCGGAGACACCCGCCCGCCGGGCAAACAGGGAGAGTGGTACTTGGGCGACCCTTCAAGTCTGAGAGAGCAGCTCGATGACTTTCTCTCCGACGTGCCCGATCAGATAGAGGATAATGGCTTGCCTGTCCCTGGCGCTCGAGTCATCATTGCCCCGTGAGTCCAACATCCCGGTCTTTCCTGCCTACGATGGATTGTAATCTACGAGGACATGTTTACTAAAGTGTAATGCCATTATAGCCATGCCGGCTACACATACTCAGGTGCTACGGCAGCCTGGGCGTATAAGGCTCTCGACCTCAGCAAAGCCAAACGCGTATTCCTTCTTGGACCCTCTCATACCTTCTACCTCGCAGGCTGCGCAGTCAGCACATATCAGAACTACGGAACACCATGGGGAGATCTCAAGGTGGACGAGGAAGTCACGGGCCGTCTCATCGACGAGCGCGAAATCCCCGGTATCCCGAGATCCAACGATAGAAAGGAACACTCGCTAGAGATGCACTTGCCGTACCTTTGGGTCCGCCTAGAGCAGACATTCGGTTCGCCCGAGAATTTCCCGCCCGTCGTACCGATCCTCATCGGCGATAACAACAAGGCCGAAGAGAAGGAGGTGGGCAAGTGGCTCGCCGAGTACATCAAGGACCCCGAGAACGCCTTCATCGTCAGCTCCGACTTTTGTCACTGGGGTGGACACTTCGACTACACAATCTACTGTCCAGACGGGACGCTCGATAGCAAGGAGAGGCTCTACGAGTATGGCCCCAAGCCCGACGGACCGCCTATCCACGAGACTATCAAGATGGTGGATGACCTGGCGATCGAGGCCATAAAGACGGGAAAACACAGCAGCTTCTACGACAACCTCAAGCAGACCAAGAACACGGTGTGCGGAAGACACCCGATCGGAGTGACAATGGCGGCGCTCGAAGAGCTGGGCGACCACCGGTTCACGTTCATCCAATACAATCGCAGCACCCTCGTGACGCGCCCGAGGGACTCCAGCGTGAGCTACGTTTCGGCTTACGCAGTGGTATGAACGCAGAAGGTTGGGAACGGCGTTAGTAAGGGAAGGGAGGACGAGGAGGGAGAAGACGTTTTCTGTACCAATTTCATGGCAGCCGGGCGAAGACTGGAAAGGTTTGGGCGTGACAAGAGGAGTTTTGATGGCTTAGACGCAGGTTTCATATCATTTCCTAAAGCAGAGGTAGACATATTAAGCAAAGAAGCCTCTTCAGCTTCTGGTAGCTCTAGAATTGGAGATCATTGGCAACACCGTCCCAAGTGCCGGAGGTCACAGACACGGGCCCAGAAGCCAGGTGACCAGATGGCTTCAATGCTGGATGAGTAATGCCTGGGGAGGGGGAGACATCAGTAGGTAGGTATGCATAAATCCTCGAGGTCTGATGTTGCTGACGAGCGAACGAAAGCATGAATCTTGAGCGGACCGAAGAAGCGGAAGGGAGGGCCGCCGTTTGTCTCGATTTCCCTCTCCCCCTCCCCTTCCACCCCCGCCCGATTCGGGATGATGTAGGTGCGGATACCGGTACTGAGACTTCAGCGAGAGAAAGAAGGACAATCCTGGGGCCGTTCGGTAGCACAGCCCTACGGTCTTCCTGGAACCGGCTGGCGGTGCGGCGCTAAGGGAGGCAGAGGCGGTGGATTTGGGGATGTGGGTGCGGTGTCAGCTTCCGCCCAAAGCGGAACGCATTGCGGATCTTTTGGGCAGCCGTGGCAGCTTGTGTTACTTACCGTAAGTGCCAGCGCAGCGACTCTTCAGGCTAGGTCGGTGTTGCTGCAGGAATGTGAAGGGCCAAAAGCTTGTTGTTCAGCTTGAGGAGGGGGTTTCTATTCCAAGCTGTCGTTCGGCAAGGTTGCCGAGTGATGTCCAGGTTTGTCTTTGGATATGAACCCCGCGCGCGATACGGTTATTTGCTTGTGAAGCCAAGAAATGACTGGAAGAAGTAATGGCTTTTTGACCTTATGGTATTCTGGGCGGCCCGTGATGGAGTGAGAAGGATATTCCCCGTTGATGACGGTGAGGAGAGTTTCTTGCGGAAGCCAGATCTCGACTAGACTCTAGTTGGGGGGGTTGATCAACCGAAAAAGGACCAAGGGAGGACGGAGGACGGTCATCCTGGGGCTGAAGGTGCTGTAGAATGCGGATTGGTCCAGAGAAAATGAGCCGGCGGCGGGATGGCTCACGGATCGCAGGAGAAGGCTGTGTTGATGGCAACACGATGGGGTTTGCCGAAAAGTGTAAACTAAGTAGATTGCTTGCTTGGGAGGGTTTTCTACAGCTGGGTTCCTTGGCGAGCTGAGTGAGGCTTGTTTTCCCCCTCTTTCTGTGTCTATAACTCATGGATATCATGTCTCTGTTTGAGGCGGTGGATTGCGTCTTGGCCCTTTGCCAAAGTTGTTCTTGCTGGAATTCTCCATAGTAAGCTGTTAGGCAGCTATGTTTTCCCTACTGCCCGCCGATAGTGGTTTCCTTGATTCCTTGAAGGAATGAGAAGGCTTTGAGGAAAGTGGGTTGGCTGTAAGCTGAACTAACCAGCCTGCCGATAGCCTGATGGCGAGCTTACGGCTTGCATGGAACCGAGTCTAATTGGGGCGAAGGAAGATGAGGCCTTGCCGGGGGGATGGGCCAGCTTTGGGTTGAGTGAGTGTTCCTGACACGATTCCACGCCGCAGATCCGCAAGCAAAAATTGAGGTGAATGAGTAGGTAGCCCGAGGCAGTCCGAAGCCCGTTTTCCTTTCTCCCTCGCTAGGCGAGACTAAACAGCTCAGCCGTAGACAGGAAGGGGAGAGGGAGGGGAAAGAGGCTTGCAGTTGCATGTGTTAGTTTCGCGCTTCCGAGACCGTAAGCTGAGAAGCGAGCGAGCGGGGTGGTGTTGAAAGTGGCCGGAAGGATCGATAATTCCCTAGAGTTGATGGGCGATGGGATGATTGGGGAGCTTGTTTGGATTGGTTGTTTAAGAGGCTGAAGTCCCCGTCTGCCGGTTCGCGGTCGTGGTCGTGAACGTTTCCTCGCAATTTTCCAATTCTATTGCTTGGTGTTGCTTGTTTTTTGATACCTCATCATCCGTACGAAAGGCGCATCGACCTCCTCACAGGCGTCATCGCACCAAAAAAGTACCTAAACACCACTAAACTCGATCATAGGCGTCATTGCTTCGACCAGCCGCAGACACAATTGCCTGTGACCCTAGCGACAGGTTCAGAACGGCTGCTGTGGAATTGATCGGCATTGCTGCTCCAGCAGGTTTATTCGACTGCAACCCACAAGAAAATCCCGTGTTCGCGGAGACTGAACAGAAAAAGCGGGAAAACGAGAAACGGGAAGACGGCAGCGAAAGAAACACGAGGTGTCCGGTTCCCAAACGAGTGGAGAGATCTGGATCGTCGAACGCTTGATTGGCATTTCGCAACCTTTGCGCTGCAACCTCACAAACTGACGTCGCCACGCACGACGAAGAGCAGCGACTGTGAGATTTAGCTACAGTAGCTAAGCCTGCCGCTACCCATCTGGCTTCGGCTGCTTCTATTCTTACCAGCCAACGAAACGCCGTCGAGCTGGGTGCAGTTGAAACCACTGCCACCACCACTATCAAGAGAAAGAGGAGACAAGACACACATTTGTGTGGACTCTCTTGAACTTTGAGGGAACCATTTCGATTGGCTCACGATTCCCGTCGTCAACATCCCTGTCGACCTCTTCGCCTTCGACACCTCCATCGTAATCGCCTCTGAACGGGTCGTCACAAGTCACCAGGACGAGGCCCGCCGCATCATCAGAAGAGGCAGCCCTCTTCACTAAATTCAAGGTTAGCCTTTTTTGAAGAGTCCCGACAGTGGCACGAACGGACAGTCAGCGACACTTTGCAAGCATCAGGGAGCAAGTTGCACGTTGGAAGCCAATTCCAGAATAAGAAGGGTGAAGAAAGGAGGTATTGCTTCAGTCAGCAGCACCGACCGGCCAGCGAACACTTGATCGAAGCATCCATCGAGCCAATACCACCAACATCAGACAATCTTGAAGAAAGTCGCATTAATTTTAGGACGCCGGCATTGGACCATCTCCCGCCAGCGCCTCAAGTTTATTCGCCTCCATTCATCGCCCGCCGCTTGTTACAGTTACAGCGCACCCGAAGAAGAGAAGGCAAAAGTCCAAGCTTCAGGGTCCAGTCCTCGACACTCCTCGACCAATCACCTGCCACCGACCGCGCCCGCCTGAGTCGAGACAGCCCAGGCTCACTCACGTTCTCACATTCTCACATTCTCACACGCCATTGAGGTAGTCTCACACAGCCCTGAAAACAGCGTTTTTTTTTTCAGGTTTTCTCACCTCACCAGTGTCACCACAGCCAACAGTGGGTGAGAGAGTGACAGACAACGACGTCCCCCCCTTTCCCTCGCGTTACATCGTCGGCCCCTGCCTCGATTGGGACCTTTTTCGTCGCATGCAGGTACCTCGCCAAGCCCGCCCATCCACGAATACACTCACACTCAAATCTCATTCTCACTCTCACTCTCATCGCTCACTCATTCTTTCGGAAGAGTGTATATTGTAGCTTACTCATCCGACTCTGAGACGACGACGCCGTTAACGAACCACGAAATTATAATCTCACAGACACACACTCACCCCAGGCGAGAAAAACACTAAAAAAGGAACGGCCCTTTCGTCAACCCAGTTTAAATAAAAAAACAACTGAGCACACTCACGCACACAAGCTCTCTACTCCATAGTGTGGTTGTTGCCAATAAGCCGGGGCCCCTCCAATCATCTCTCCTACTGGAGCCAGAAAGCTACCTAAACGGCGATCGTTCCGCAAGCCAGGGGCACCCCAAGCAGCGCGCCCCCGTTCCGAACAGACAATTCGAATTTCTGCTACAAAGAAGCGCTTCAAGCCACACGCTTAACGCCCACGTTCCTGCATCCAAGGCCCTGTGCAATTGTGGATTGTGGCCCATTCGCCTCGTCTCGCTTCATCGCCCCCCAGTCGACGACCATTGACCCAGAAAAAACGAGCCTGAGACTTCTGTCGTCCAAGCCTGAGAGCGACTCTGTGTGAAAGTCGTACTTGGACCTGGACTTGGACCTGGACCACACCGTCACTCTCGACGCTACAACCACAACGCCAATTCATCTCATCCGCCGCCGCCCCCCCTTCTTCTCCTTCGCCCTTTCTACCCGTACTCAACTTGCTTCTTTTTCTGCCACAATCAACAAAACATCAAATCAAAAGGCCTTACACATCTTCCTACCTACCAAAGCCATCGCGCGCGAGACCACCCCGACGTTCATCCAACAAAGCAATACTACAATACATTGCATTCGCCCCTGAGCGTCTACCAACCTCGCATCATCGTCGCGCAAGGAAGAAGCCTTCGCGCTTCGCAGAAGCAACATGAGTGTCAGTGTTTCACCCCAACCCTCGCACTTCCGGTGTTTCGCCCGCCCGTCCTCGCCTTGTTCAACCCTCACTCTGCACGCTGCCCTGCCCTACCAACGTTGCATTACGTCCTGTCGTCCTCTTGTCAATCGCACGTTGCTGCGTTGGCCTTCCCTTCTCGAAGTCGAGAAAGTCCACCCGTTCCCGATCCCGTTCCCGTTGCCTTGTCCGCACACTCTTCGCAAAGCCGCAACATCGCAAACTTTGACTTCCTGCGATCACCAACCTTCTTTGCACATCATCATACTTGCTTCAGCCTGGTTGCGTTGCATTTGCCCATTTCGACTGCTCTTCCTTGTTGACGATTGACGTCTTTCTTTTTACCCTTTCATCCATCCTACCTCACCTAACCTAATTGACCCGACCGTTCTTCCTGCCACCGATATTCGTCGAAGAAAACTAACATAATGGCGCAGTACGGGTATGTTTCTCTCTCCCATGGAGCTGACGGGACACACGACGACGAGTACGACCTCTCCGAACGCGGAATACTGACAGACGAGCATAGATACGGTGGTCGTCAAAACCCCTTTGACCAGCGGGACGATGGTCCCGGTGGAGGATACGGAGGAGGAGCTC